GTGGGCCATCTCCACGCGGCGAGGCCTGCACAGGTAGCGGTTGAAGTGGAATTCCTTCTCCAGCTCCACCAGCTGAGCGCTGGTGTAGGCTGTGCGGGCTCTCTTGGAGGCCGAGGAGCCTGGAGGGCTTTTCTCGCCACTGCAGGTTTCTGCTGGCCGCGAAATGAAATAAAAGATAATTACTTACATGCAGAAATTGAATGCATCGTTTCTTAATAAATCCTGGAACAGGCACAAGAGTTCAACTCCCCCCCCCCCCCCCCCTTTCCCTCACCCCTTTGCATTAGCCTGCACTCCATAATCATGTCATTTATTAAGAGTTCTGTTCTCCAAAGCTGCCCTTGGTTTATGAAAATTTGATCATGTCATGTAGAAAAGGATTCCAGGGCCATTTATTTAGGAGTCGATTATTTCCAACAGATAATTTTGAGAAAATAATGTTTGGCGGGGGGGGCAGCCACTGCAAAGCCAATTAATACTAACACGGGTCAGCGTTGGGAGGTATTTTGTTTGCCGAGGTACGAATGCACACACACATCTTGTGTGTGCCTTCCATTTGTGTAACACAAATATTTGCACGTACATTGTTAGACACCAAATTGCATTCGTACCTAGCTTTTCGTGAGAGAAACATGTACACGTTATATTAACGCAGTGAAGTGTGTGCTCAGGTCTGTATGAATATATTTGCCAGAACAGTGATATTTCCATACTGGTTTGTTCTCTTGTTTGCATGAGAGACGTGCGTGTACGCGGGCAAGAATATCCATGTGTTCATGCATATGCTCTGTACACGCACGCGTACCCTCTGAGCACCACGCTTACTGCTGTGTCTGGAGGCAGGGAGGTGGGAAGAGAACAAGCACTCTGCTTTAGCATCGCTAGGTTGAGCAGTGGGTGTACATTTTTATGTATCTGTGTCTACACGGTCAGACGTCGGCGGTGTACAACCTCCTGCTTGTATTTCCCTGTGGTGCTGTGCGTATGTTTAAAATAAACCAAGTGTGCGCAGTCTGTGGTGCCGGATGGGCCAAGGCTCGCTCCGCCTGGCTAGCGAGTGTGGCTGGCAGTCTTGGGATCATGCCCAGCACCAAGATCCTAGCTGGATACTTGCTGGATTCGCTGCACCCTCTCCCCCTCTCCCCTCCCTCCAAACAAGACCACTCCGGCCAGTGGCTCGCTGTTGAGGAAAGCGGAGGGTTACAAAAGCAGAACAATGTACCTGTGCTAGGGGAGCTGTTTTTCTGTTTGGAGTTTTGCCTCGATTCTTTCATCCAGGGGAATATCTGCTTGGTGAGACTGGCGTTTGCACTGAGGTTGGCTTTGCTGGGGGCAGTTTTACTGCTCCCTGACTGGTTATTGCTGTTGCTACTGGTGCTGTTGGTGGCAGGGTTTGGGGGCGGCGAGACGGGGGGAGGTGGATGGTGCTCCGGGGGCAAACTTGGACGCATGCAGCTCCCGTTCAGGTCTTTACTTTTTGCGTGCGGGGTTGTGTTGCCAAGAGACTGGAGGGAGCAGGCGGACCTCTGGTAGTCGTTCTCCACGTGAGAGGCCGGCTGGAAAGGCTGTTGGGGACCCTCGTAGCCGAACCCATTGGCACTCCCATAGGAGTAACCCCCAAAGAGCGTGGAGCTGTCGTAGTATGTTGTCTTCTGCATCTCTGGGACTCCCCAAAATTATTTTTCCGGCTACCAGGGTCTTGACACCCCTATGGCAGAACATTGGCACCCCAAGGCCACGTGACAGGCCGTTTCCAGCTGTCTATTGGAAGCTGACCTGAAAGGTTAGGAGAAAACACACAATAATAGTACCCGGCCTATGAATCCATCTTGGGGCCTGAAAGGCCCATGACATGAATAGGGTCCTGCAGAACAGGGCGAACAGATGCTTTGAGCAGATTTCGTCCTGTGTGCAGCCTAAGGAGGCTCAACAAATGTTACAGTGCACAAGTGTTGAGCTGGTTTTCAGGGTAGTTTTCCTGGTTGGTTGAACCTTTTTTCCCTGGAGAGGATAGCACCCAGGATGTATAACTACACACACGCTCTATAAGTACACGTGGTTTCATCTGTATCCACCTATTTACTACTATGTTTGTCTCTAGACATATATACAGATGCCCACACATATACATATAAATGTGTGCATGTAGGTACATGTATATGCGTGTACATGTGTACGTCATGGGCACGTCTACACATCCATGTCCAGACAGCACACACATCAGCGTAAACATAAGAATACAGAATGGGTAATTGCTAGCTACAAGCATGAAAGGAATGAAAGTCCTGCTTTCTTACCCCTGACCTATTCAGATCAGCCATTCACACACATAAACACCAGCAAGACATATTATCATCCGAAATTAAAAGTCTGCTAAGTTTATTGTAGGGCCTCTGTCCAGTATATTATTTTTTAACCTGAACACAGCAAAGAGCCAAGATGCTTTAGTCAGGTAACGGTGTCCTGGCATAGTTGGCTTGATTTGCTGTTTACACAGGGACTCATGATGTCTTTGGAATTCAGGGCAAATATTTTAAGCAGATTTAAGCAGGGGCATGAATTCAAGAATGTGCTTCCTTTGGCGTGTTTGTTAGTCTCTCCCTCTTGCTCTGGTAGCACAGGTTGTATTTAGAAAACATGCCCCTTCATTGCCTACACTGCTTTGTACTCATCAGTCTTGAATCTGGAACTACCATTGGCAAGATGTGAGTCCAAAATCTGTTTAAATGCTGTTGGGTGTTGTTTTTTTTTTTTTCTTGGAAAACAAACACGTCACCAGGCCATTTGTTCTTAACTTTCTACCCTTTGATTTTTCATCGTTCTTCCCTCCCTCAACCCAAGCTCAAAAAGTCTAAAAACCCAAACCAAAGCCTCAAATTACAAAATGAAACCTTCCTTCTTTCCTTCTTTCTCTGGCCTTTATATTTTTCTTTCTCTCTTTTCTCAAAACATAAACTTTCTTTACCATAAGGACAGAGTAGAAATCCCCTTAGAAATATTAAAACTATCTTGACCTGAAAATAATCTGGCATGTGGGGATCAAACAAGCAGCAAACGTATTTTAAAAAGGCAGAGACTTCTCTCTGCAGCTCAGAGTTTGCAAGGAGCCACTGTGCATTTTGTTTTGAAATTGATATCCATTGTATATTTAATTGTATCTCTTGTATATTTAATTTTATCTGGGCTCTTTCATTCTCTAAAATAAAATAAAATAAACTCTGTGGAGATAAAGTCTAACGTGATATTTCTAAGTACCAGGGTTTAACAGAAGCTGCAGCTCGACAATAAATAACATCTTTTTTTCCTTCCCTGACTGCTCTGTTCTTATGTCATGTCATATGAAACCTCCGTATACTTCTAATGCAGCCTCAGACAACGTGTCCACGAAGGGACGGCTTCGCCTTTTTACACTGATTAAATCCTTTATGCATTCCCAAATCTGTATTGTATCTTCCACTGAGATGTATTATTGTCTACAGAGAGGATGATATCCTTGCTGGGAGTTATTCTCCTTTGGTTTCCTCGCCATGATAAATATGTCTTATTAAAAAGTAGACTCCACTACCCGAGCCGAGAAGCTGTGAATTAATTAACAAACAGCAGCGCCTTTATTATGAATAGGTTTGCTGAAAATATCTGCCAGGGCAGAAGTGGGAATTTCTCCAAGGCCTTCCTGGCTGGCATAGGATTCTTAAAAAAAAAACCCACCCAAACCAGTAAAACAAACCCAAAGCAGAACCGAGCGGAGAGGCTCAGCTAAAGCAGCTAAAAATAACGGCGTCGATTTTTTCCTTTTTTTTTTTTTAAACGTCCATAAAATAAATTTACAATCCCCTTCGCCCAAAAGCTCGCTCGCTTGTGGCTTCTACAGAAGATTTGCTTTGTACCTCATCTCTCAGCGCCTCACAAATGCCGCTCATTTATCTTCGCCGAAGACGGGCGCAATCCTAATTATTTACTCCAAGGAATTGGGTTTTTTTTTTAAAAAAAAAAAAAAGCTCAGACAGAATAATAAATATTCGATTATCTCCTGTTCCAATTAAACCCCGGCAGGATCCGCGCTGGCTGTTTCATCCCGCTCCAAGTTTCACTTTGCGAGCGGTAACATTTAACCACCAACTCTTTGCCTGCAACTTTTGAGCGCAAGGATTTAGAGACGTTAAAAAATTTAAAAACCCCACCCAACCCAAACTCCAAATAAAACCGGGAGGAAGGTGCGAGAGGGAAAAGGCTGCGGGGAGGAG